TAAGTTTTTCAATCTCCAAATAATTAATAACTTTTTCCTGTCTCGTTTTAAACAGAAACGATCTGGGGCAAAGTTGTAGCCGAGCAAATTTTCTATAAGAATGGCTATCGAACTGTTTCGCAGCTCAATATGGAAAAAAAAACTAGAAGACAATGAGCAAAAAGTTGAGATTTCCCATAGTAATTTACATATAAACTTCAAATGGCTTGTGCGAAGTCTGTTTCTAACCAAATGAGTTGTAACTTTGGGAGGCTAATCAGGACCCGATTTGAAACCATTTAAGCACAGTGGAGCGAAAAAGTCAAATTTTGCATCAGTCTAATGGTTAATCTTGTCGAATGCTGCCGATAGATCAGTATAAATAACGTCTGTTTGAGTCCGTTCTGCCATGCTCGTAGTGATGTGCGACGTAAGACACAGCATGCTCGTAGTAATTGAACGGCCGGGTATGAAACAATGTTGGTCATCGCTCAAATACTGTTTACAATGAGCAAATGAAGGCGCCACTACGAACAACTCATACAGTTTCGAAACAGCACTTTCCGGTAATTGATATAAAAGTTTTTTTTTAATTCTGGACTAATCTGTGAGATTTAATCAAAATTTCTAAAACACACCAATTTTGTGAGGCTTTAGAAAATGTTAATCATGGACCATAAAAAATGATAAAAATTCAGATGTTAGACTTTGAAATTTTTCCAAGATTCCTGATTTGAAAATAGATCTCAGAAAACATCAAAGGTTCTTGGACTTGAAGAAAATATTTATGATTCGGGCCAAGGGGCAAGACTGGTGTACTCAAAGTTAATATATTTGCAGCGAGTAAATGTAACTTCTTCGTTGAATGAAGTTCTGTAAATAACCACCTTCTGACAGAATATGTTGTTTTCAATATTTAGTTTTCGTGCATTAAAAGATCCAAGTTAGATTGCTCTTGTCCAGACCAGGGGACATCAAGGCTTTTTTGCTTTCTCGGTATCCCTTCATCTCTTTGTAATGTCTTCGAAATTTTTGGTTATATAGTGGTATGATTTCAAGACCAAGAAATTTTGAATTTGGTCAATGCAAATTAATACTCATTCTTACAAAATCGGCCAAAGAGGCTTCTCATCTTGTTGGATTATATGCCTGAAATGAAGCAACTCAACATTATAATTATTTAAGGTTCACCGTGATCAGCAAAATCATATTTACAAGCTTCCATAACGGGATTTAATTCTCAGAGAATATTTAGCCAACAAAAAGTCAAAGTAATGGCCAACTGTCACCACAAACTTCGATTGTGTTCCGTTGATTCTATTCTGAAACGTATATAAAGTTTTTCAATGAGTGATCATCGGAGGGAAGCAGGAACCACCACATCGCATTTTTCATACTGAGATTGTTCAGAATCCCCCTTTGGATTAACCTGAATCTTCCCTGTTATTGTTCGAAATCTCTATGGGATTGTCCGAAATCCGATCTGAGATTATTCGGAATCCTTTCTGGAAATGTTTGGAATCTTCCCTGGACTGTCATGACTCCACCAGGAATCTCTCCTGGGATAGTCAATAATCCCTCTTGTGATTATCCGGAGTCCCCTTTGATATTGTTGGGAAGCCGCACTGGGATTGTCCAGGAATCTCCCCTAGGCTTATTCGAAATCCCACCTGAGACTACCAAAGAATCCCCTCTGAGACTGTCATAAATCCTCTTTGTGATTGTCCATCAGAATCCGTTGCTAATGTTGCAGAACTCGATCGTCATCGGCATGGCAGTAAAGCAAAACATCTCTGGCTGTTCCGTAAGGTCACCATAAAAATCATCCATCAATTTACGCTTGCCATACGAAAGTACAATTGCCTTCCATTGCGGAAATATCTTCCTGATTCAGCATTGTTTGCTTTGGTTTCAACACAACAATCAGGTTGTTAAGTGTATATGATGTTGAGCAATGTGAGTTACTCAAAACTAACTCCGATTTCGCTCTTTATAAAAAGCTGCCTTGCTCCAAGATGCTGGCATTTATAAGGATAATTCCGAATTCTCAGGAACATTCTAAGAGAGTTCAGACTGAAATTTCAATTTATTTTTGAGGAGAACTTCAAGCGAAAACTTATTTCTGCTAATTGATGAGGAGATTTTCAATGAAGTTCTGGCAGTGGCGTCCCGTAACCTCACTACCTGTGCACCAACTTTCAAAACCGGATTTAATACCATATTCATACTCGAATCTATTGAAAAATACATTTAATCTTCTAGTTTACTCGATATCTATCCATTGCAAGCAATATTTTGATAGTTGTTTATATTTTGAGAGTTGGTGCACAGGTAGATTGAGGTTAAGGAAACGCCACTGAGTTCTGGGAAGAATTCCTAGATAGCTCTGAGGAAAATTAAAACGAGAAGAGACTCCACTTATTTCTAAAGAGAATTTCAAGGAGAGAAGGAAATTCAAAAGATTACTTTAGCATAATTACTAAGCAAATGTCTGAATAATAACAAGGGCATTCTGTGAGCATTCCATGATATTTCTGTGGAAGCTTGATTCCACGGGTATTTAAGAAGAAAACTAGGACTTAAACGTTACCGGGAAACACTAGCGTTGGATCGTGCAAAACAAGACAAACGTAGAAGTGGATCATATGACCGAAAACTACGAGCGAAGATCATAAGGGCAGTCCAAAAGAATCCTGGGATCTCCGATTGTGATTTGGCGAAAAGGTTCAGTGCGGCACACCGTACAGTTCGGCGAATCTGTATGCGAGAAGGTTTCCGGTCGTAACATGCCAGCAAACATCCCAACAGGACGCTGAAACAAAACCTGGTTGCCAAAAAGCGTTCAAGGAAGCTGTACAAGCAAGTTCTGACCAAGTATAACGGATGTATTTTGATGGACGATGAAACTTACGTAAAAATGAACTTTGGACAAATCCCGCGCCAAAAATTTTACTTTGCTAAACGTAAGGAGGATGCTCCGGATAAATTCAAATTTGTCTTTGCAGATAAATTCGCTCGCATGTTGATGATTTGGCAAGTCATCTGCAGTTGCGGAAAGAAAACAAAGGTTTTCGTCACTGGAGCGACTATGAATGGATAAATTTGCAATGAGGAGTGTCTCCAGAACATAAATTTGCCGTTCATTCAATCACACGAAGGTCCCGTAAAGTTCTGGCCTGACTTAGCCAGCTGCCATTACCGCCGCGATGTCATAGAATGGTGTAAGCAGAATAATGTCGATTTTATTGAGAAAAGTATCAATCCACCAAATTGCCCAGATTTTCGTTCCATTGAAAATTTTTGGGCAATTATCAAGCGCAAATTGTAGAAATGTGCCAAAACAATCAAAACACCATCTGATTTGGAGAAGTGGTGGAAAAGGATGGTAGATGAGGTTGACAGTACTACTGTGCAAGACACGATGAGAGGTATTCCGCGAAAAGTTCAAAAATTCATCCACGAATAATTTTTGTTGTATTCTTCCCTTTAAGCTAAATAAAAACCATACAAAATGAAACCTTTAGCGTTTTTGTACTTTATTTCCTCTTGGAGAAATGACCTATTTTGAGCGGCCAACTTCTAAATATTATTAAAGAAATTCTTGAACAAATCCCAAAGTCCTGTGAAGGGTTCCAATCTGAATTGGAAAAAAATTGATTCTGAGACTTCATATTTTACTTATCCCGAAGATGGATGATTAACAGAAATATTTGAAATGCTGAACTTTTTAATATTGCTAATATAAAATAAATCAAATGTTTGAGAATTCTTAGCATTTTAAGATTCTTACAATTTGATCATTATATTGAGCTCAAACAAATGTATGAAAGTCTAGGGCACTGATAATTTTTAAAATCTGAGATTTAAGAACCATTTCTAAATTTATAGACACTTAAAATTGCAGACTTGAAGATTATTTCAAGACTCAGAGATTGATATACCGTTGTAGGTTTCTCTTTCTTTGAAATATGATCAGTATGATCACTCATTCGATATTGTGCCCTCTCTTGTTTGAAACCTGGTTACGCCCTTGTTAATATTTACCATTTTCAAGAAGCTGCTTAAAATACTTGTGCACTCCAAATTCTATTTTAATTTCCAACTGTCGACATGTGTCTTCAAAAGTGTTCCAAAAACATGAAATGTCTTCAGAATATCTGCGGAAAATGAAAGTCGTCACAGGATTTCAAAAGTCTTCAAAATGAAGACCATGTCTTCAAATCTGGGATTCTGTTTGACACAATATTTTGACGGGATATGTGCTTTTTAGCTGGGACGAACATCCAACTAAAAAGCAACCCCACCGATAACTCGTGGTAGATAACATTTAATCTTTTTGAAGTACCCGGCGAGATTCGAATAAAGTTGCAAATTCACCCGTATTTTTTACAAAACCGATGGTCAATACTGTCGCAGGCCGTTTTTTGAAATTGATGAAAGATCTGATGATCCGTTTGATGAACGGTGGAGGCAAACCCGAATAGGTTTTTAAGCACTTGTATGGTTATTTTCTTTACAAGAATAGGATTGAACGTTGAAACCACAAAAGATCGCCAAAAGATAACAAATATAATCAAGCTACAAATTTGTTCTAGTGTAAGTGTATGAAAACCGCTGTGACAAGGTAATGTAGTGCGACATGTATGTATATTTGTAGCAATCATACTACAGTACAAAAAAAAACCTTGCGATAAGGTGGAAAATTATTCGAAAATAATCGATTATTTATATTATTGATGCAGACCTGAGAGGAAGGCAGATAATATAATAAATATTATTTAATACAACTACTTGCCCACTTAATAAAGCTCTCAATAACGATAGCACTGAAGCATCCGTCCAGTTTGTCCCCACTTGAAAAACCACTAACCGCATGCACTTTCATACTTTAAAAAAAAAACCCCACTACACACATCCGCTGCATCCAACCAAACCAAAATGGGACTCTCTCATTACCATCGAAATCCCTCCCACTTCCCTCTGTCTCTATAGAACACCCCCGAAAACAGTACCGTACTTACCCTGGCTTCATCGTTCAGTGATCTATCGATGCTTTTCTGGTAATGGTTGATAATATCCACAATCGACGACATTTTCCCCGTACGAATATTTTAGTCCAATATTTTGCAACAGCAGAGCAACTTCTGTAGGTTACCCACGGCAAGTTCCCTTCGCCTTCAGTGCACGCACACAAGGTGGTCGGTCGGGTCGGCCAATGGTATTTAATTTATCCAACCCCAATCACAGGCTAGTTAGCTAGATTTTCAGGAAATTCACTTTTTTTTTCTCGAGACGTGAAAAACGACTGCGTCATACGACGAGACGATACTCAGTGACTGCGAATTTCACTTTCCGCACACGGCACGAACTCGCGCTTAGATCATTGCTATTCCACTCCACCAAACCGTGCACTCTGGTAGCCCCTGGGAACAGGATCGATCCGGAATTCCGGGTATTCAAGCAGAATTTTCCAACAATCTTTGATTTCCACGCACACACTACACGTCGCAATTCGCCATTATGCTTACGTACGATCGCGAATGTACGATGAAATGAGACAGTTTCGGTTTCGTTGTTGCTGCTTGCTACTAAAATATCTGGCACTGGCTGACTGTCTTGTCTCTTTGCCGTCAGCTACCTTCTCTTTTTCGCTATCTCTCCTTGATCGGGAAATCAGCACCAACAATTCAAATGGGCGAAACTACATTTGAAAGCAACGACTTCATTAGCCAATTTCTCACAAATAAAAACACACCAATGCAAAAAGCAGTAAAAACCGATGACGGAATATACACCCAATCAATGGCGTTGTAAATCAACGTCGATGGGTGGAAAATTTGTGATTGAAATCATCTTTTGTGATAGCAATTTCGCTCTTTTTGAAAATTGATGCTGAAATGTTGTCCGAAAGCGCATACCGCTAAACGCACCGCACCACTACTAATCCGTTTGACACTTGTGCTGAATATGTTTTGCTTCTGATCAATAATGTTGTAGGACAGGGGTGTATAAAAGGTCCAAGGTGTTTCCACATAAAAGGTTAAGCCATGCACACATTCATTTTTGCCATAGAGATTAGTGACGTTAACGCACGCATAAAATGTTAGACCTTTTTGACGTTAACTCGCCTTTCTCATCTAGCACGCATGGATGAATCGACGAGTTGTTTTCCCACTAATCTGTTTCCCTCTTGCTAGCACTCGTTCGCTATAGTGTGCGCCAAAAAGCTCTATGGAACCCCGTCTGTCAAAATGAGTTTGATAGCGTTTTTTTATGCATTTTCCTTGGATTTACACCACCCCGACCAACCGTTCGTGAAACTTCTTCAAAGTTCTACAGAAATACGTATACAGAAATAAAGATTTATGTCGGCAATTCTTTACTTTAAATTTTCTATGATTTCGATGTACACATTTAAAAATCTTTATTGATCGATACTTACATTTAAGATTATTTCTTCATCGGTCATATAATAGTAACACAAACGAAGTGACAGACGACTTTCTCCGAAGAAATTATTTAAAATAATGTGGTTCTCTGTAATAGAATTTTAGTCCACCTTCCGCCCCTCACCGCCAGGTTCGCTAGTATTTTTGCTTTGAATTAATTCAAGTTGGTTTTGTGTGCAATGATCTGGCAACCCTCGTTCTCGCTCGCGTTGACGTGGTGCTGTTTTCTCACTCATCTAAGGAAATTTTGATTAGAGTGAGAAAGTAAGGAACAATCAGCGCGGGAACCGTGTGCGTTACTGTAGGTGCGGCAGAAGGAATGTTGACAACTCTTTCGTTCTCACGGTGTTCTTACGCATGATCCAACGTTACGTCACACTAGATTATGCATAAGAACGTCGTGATAATGAAAGTGCTAACTTGTTTCCTTCTGCCTCACCACAGCACTTGCGATTCTCCGTCGGTTTCAGGTGCATTCTTTGTGTCATAGAGATTGCTGACGTTTATCTTACGCACACTACGTCACGTATACGTATACGCAAAATGTTTTCATCGGGATCATACTTTAGCAATCTCCACCAGTCCAAACACTAGAAGTTTTGGAAGGTTCTCCCTCAGTACCTGAAAGCAGCGTGATACCAGCTGACATTCGCTTAATGTGGGTAGTGAAATCCGGAACATTTTCTCACTTTTGAGCATCAACGTCAACCCGGTTTCGAATCGCATTCCCACTTGAGGTGGCACCGTTGGCAGTAATCCACTGCGCCGTGGGAAAGACCTGACTAGTGCTGGAAAATTCACCGTCTAAGGAACGTCACCATTAAAATTAAATCAACCTAATTTTCTTCGCTGTAACGTACTCCGGATCAGACTCGCTGGTGGACCGTTTTCGTGGGACGGTTTTCGACCCGAAAAGCTACAATTTGAACAGTTTTCAAAAGATTTCTGACAGACGTCTTGGGACGCACGATCTCCTGTCCCACCGAAGCATCCGTTAGCGTGTCCGTGTCGGAATGGATGAACTCTTTGATCGACTGCAATTCTACCATCGATTTTCGGCACTGCTTTTTTGGTTAAATTCACACGATAGTTGAAATCGAACACCGTCGACGATCCGGCGGAGGATGCTTCGTCTTCATTGTCCGAAGAAGTCAACGATTTGATACGACCGGTTTGGCTCGAAGCAATTTTTCGACGGAAGTTCCTCGTGGCAGTGGAATCTTCTTGATCAGTTCCTCCAGACTGATTTCTTCGCCATTCGAAGAAACGAACGAGGAAGAACTAGACGAAGACGTGGACAGCCGTCGCTTCGACGTTGGTTTCTTTCGTTTAGAAACCAGATCGGAATCACTGTCGTCACTGTCTTTTGTGGTTCGTCTTTTCTGAGATTTGCGTTTGGTCGTCGATGCAACTGACTCTTCAGAATCTGAATCATCAGATTTAATATGACGTCTGCCACGAGATCAGCCCCTACACTGAACCAATTTGACATATTCTTGTTATGTGGAAGTCTAATAAATTTGCGCTATAAGATAATCCATTGAAAATGATATGATTGAAAATGTGTCAGGTAAATTCTATATGAATATCCGATACATTTACAATGCTCATAATTTGGTAACATTTATATGATCGTCATATGATAAATGAAAATGGGTCAAATTATAATAATTAACTGAAATGGATTTGAAACCCATAAGCATAAGCTTTACTTTTCACCACAATATAATATATGTGTCATAAATCAATCGAAGTAAAGTTTATGTGAAAATCACATGAAACTTACTGCTTCTTTTGACACATATATTTAATCGATTTCTAAAAATAAATCGAAAAATAAACATCAGGCAGTGGGAGCATTAACAGTTGTGTCTTTTTTTATTGTAGCTGATTTGGGATTCGATCAAGAACTGTTGAGGTGTGATGCTTTCGGTGTCTGTGCTCGATTCCATTGGGCCACGGCTGACTTTAAGATTGAGCTCGTTCAATTAGCATGAAGTAAGAACAGCTCTCCCGACATGGAATGTAGTGCAACGTTATGCTCGCTTTGCTAGAGTGAAGGAAAATAACACTGACAAATTTATGTTCCGTTTCGGTGATGTCGTGTATTCAAATCTTTCTTAATGCTCCTGTGTGCAATAAACCAACGACTACATTATATGAGTTCATGGAACTCGTTCATGACACTCGAGTGTGAAGATTTACAATTAGAATCTTAGCTAATTAAATATTGCAGTAGAATCATTTTTTTTTCAATCTCAATACATTCTTTTCCGAAACCCCTTATCTTATGAAAAAATAACAAACAGAGATTATTCAATACAGTCTCATTGTTGTTAGTAATATTTAGTTCAACTAATCATTTTAATGGGAGCGATATTCATCCCAGAAAAACATGCCAAAACAAATGTTTGCTGTTGGATTTATTAAAAGGCAAATCTATGTGACTATCTAATGAGTTGGATAGATCTGTTTACAATCTTTATACCTCAAAAATCAAAGGAAGCTATTCCAATGAGATATATATGTTTTCCTGTACTGCAAAGTTAAATGACAATCCAATAGTTTCTACATGTCTGTTTACACGCGACATATCAACAAACGTCAAAAATCGTTAAAAGCAACTCCAATAAAATATACATGCCTATCTTATAAGATATATCTTTTAGTGAGCAATATTCTTCATGAAAACAGGTATATTTTACTGAGTTTTCTCATAGTGCAAATTTATATGATTTTCCATTAGTTTCTAGATATCTGTTCCCACCCATGACATATCAACAGTTTTTCACCATGAAATATATCAGACAATATTCATATACTTTTTACTTATCGCTAACCACGTTCGAAGCAAAGTATTATCAAGTACTAAGTATGTGAAATTATGATAGAAATCATTCCATATCGCAGTCATAGTTTTTAAGTGATAATCCAATGGAATCTATCAATCATCACATAGAATGAATAAATCTGCTGACATTGCTATGTTATCAGATGCATCCAATAAACGGTACATGTCGATTTGTTTCAGTGTAGAACTCCCCTCTCTGCTACTGGCTTCCGCACGTCAAGCTGCTTCCGCTCTTCGGGAAGCCTCGGCTAGCTTCAAACAATCGGAAGACAAAAGGTGCAAACATAGTTCTTCGAGGGAACCTCCATGCACTGATCGTAGCGACAAGTCGAACCGCACGTTGCACACAGGATCATATCCCAACTCTTGCAATCGTAATCTCGCCCATACCAACAGCGACACGCTTCAGCGTCACACTCCGAAGGACGTTCCAACTGATCGTTGAATGCATTCGGTTCAGGCTCCCACGAGGCATCCCTGGAACAAATAAAATAAAATATTCAGTATTCAAATACCCACCTCTGCTTCACTTACTTTTCCGGAATATAAATGCCACGCTGCTGCATCTGCTGACTAAAGTCGTCCTTGTTGTTGCACAAAGGGCACTTGAAAAAGTACCCCGCCGATTGGGCAAACTGTGCCATGCAGCTCCGATGGAACCAGACATTCTGACAGCACGAATCGATTCCAGCTTCCTGTACGGTCCCATCTCATCGTAGCAATGTAATGCGACAGGCACTCATTCTGCATCCCACAATGCGTCTGAAATGAACGGAAGCACTTCTTCGTGCAACACAAAACGTTCGCATACCGTTCCTTGGGGCCCATGCATTAATTTTGTCACGCTAAATCGAAGAGAAATTTACCCCCCACCCTAATAAAAATTGTATGGTTAATTTGCTTAACGACGTGTTCTGGGTATCATCCAAACCATTTGTGGAATAGTTGTGCAATAGTTCGTTCGTTTATGGTTATTTTTTATTAGGGCACCCCTATCGTGACGTTTTTCCTATACCTAATGCATTGCTTGTCACAAAATCTTAGACCCCCCCCCCCCCCCCCTAGAGCGTGACATAATATATGCATCAACCCTTGCAGATGAGCGGTTCCACGAACAAGTGGGAAATTTTTCCAGTTTTTATTTTTTGTATTTTTTGATTTGCATGAAACCTTGCATACAAGTTTTTGGGGAAGAAAAACGCCGTTTTGCATACTTGGTTCGCCATTTTGAATCTAGCCTTACTTATGAGAAGGGCCTATGAAAAATGCACATGATATCTTCAAAAAATTGTAT